TGTCTGCTTTTCTATCCATCTTCCCCTTCATTCTTTGTTCATCCTTCAAATAGCAGCAGATAACTTTGGAAACTTTGGGGTGTAGTCCCTTCAGCTTTAATCCAAGGAACCCAAGCCCAAATATTCTGCTTCACTTTGAATTTGCACAAAGTTTATGATAGCCCAGTGCCAAGTTCCTATTCAGTTGAATTCTATGCCTTGTCGATTCCTCCAGGAGAGATAGATTCTCGCTCGTCTGGGATGAAGCTACCAATATCAGGAGGAAGCACGGGGCAGAGCACTTGGGACAGAACATCAGGTGGTCAGGCTGGGCACTGCTAATGGAGGTTAGGCTGAGAGACAGTTCCAAGAGCCCTCACTCACCAGGCATGAGACGGACAGGGCCTTAAGGGGCACCGCTCATGTCCAGATGCCCCTGGTGTGTCCTGTACCAAGGGACACATACGCTAGCACACATCTGGGGAGCATTTCCTGCAGCCCAGCCCAGCTCTTGGAAACAGCTGCCAACGCCAGCCAGGCACGAGTCAGGCAATATTTTGTCTAAAAGGTCCACTCAGGAGCTCCTGCTCCAGGACATGTGGATAATCTCCTGCTGCTGCAGCTGAGGAACTGACACTATGGCCTTTAGGACGGAGGTTAAGCCGGAACATTTGCAGTAAGTAATGAAAGCACAACACGGCTGGTCAGGCTAAACTGGGGCTTGGGTTTCCAGTCAACAGTCCGTAAGCAAACAGAACCATTCCAAACACATGGGTGTCAGCCATGAGCTCTTACCATGCACAACAGCTACCAGGGAGAAAGCCGCCCTCTCTGGGTACCCCTCCTCCGGCAGGGGAGGACAAAGGAAGGTCTGTTCTGTCCCTTGCTACACAATTGTATAGCAAATACTTAGTGTGGTCCAGGTGCCAGCTCCCATTCTATGAGCTTTCTACCGATCGTCCAGGCAGATTAATGAGGACATGACTTTTATCAGTGCCTTACAGGGAAGGTGCTGCTCACAGGGAGCTAAAATAAGATGTTGAAGCTCACACCATATGGCTAAGCTATAAGCCCAAAGGCACTGGGTCAAAGGTTTGTTCTGTTCATCTCTGTGCTAACCTTCTTCTCATTATGAATCAAGAATATAAGAGTTATCATTTTAACTAAGACCCACAGCGCAGCATCTATCCACCTACCAAGTGATCCATCCATTCATTTATCCATTAATCCATCTCTCTACCTGCCCATACACCATCCATCCTCCCATCATCCACATATTCACCCATTCAATCTAGCTGTCTGTCTAGCCACCCACCCGTCATCCAGTAAGTCACTCATCTACCTATCCGCCACCATCCATCCACCCATACGCTCCACTCATTGGCTAGGTGGGAAACTGAGCTAAGCTCTGAAGCTGGTGGTGAGCAAGCCTAGAGGCAGTCTCTCTCAAGGGCAGTCTGTTCTTCCAATCCAGCGCTGTCATGGCAGCTCATCACACCATCAAGCCCACTCCACTGACTGTGCCAGAGGTTCTGGTTCCCCTGGAGGGTACACTGAAGCTCTGGATTCATTTTAAAGACCCAGAATGAATCCCACTCCTCCAATCCTTCTAGAAATACTACATGTAACTTAATCCTTGGGCTGGAGCAATAGCACAGTGGGTAGGGCTTTTGCCTTGCATGTAGCCGACCTGGCTGACCCGAGTTCAATTTCTCCGCCCCTCTTGGAGAGCCCAGCAAGCTACAGAGAGTATCTCGTCCGCACGGCAAAGCCTGGCAAGCTACCCGTGATGTATTTGATATACCAACACAGTAACAAGTCACAATGTTACTGGACTTGCTTGAGCAAATCGATGAACAATGGGAGGACAGTGCTACAGTGCTTAATCCTTTGTGTGAAACTGCATTCTCCTTAAGCTAGAGACTGTCTACTTTCTGCATCTGTGCTGTGTCAGGTGCATTTTTCTTTTCTTTTCTGTTTTTTCTTTCTTTCTTTTTTCTTTAGTTTTTGGGCCACACTCAGAAAACTCAGGGGCTATTCCTGGCTCTTAATTCAGAAATTAAGAGTTATCATTTTTAACTAAGCTGTCTGTCTAGCCACCCACCCGTCATCCAGTAAGTCACTCATCTACCTATCTGCCACCATCCATCCACCCATACGCTCCACTCATTGGCTAGGTGGGAAACTGAGCTAAGCTCTGAAGCTGGTGGTGAGCAAGCCCAGAGGCAGTTTCTGTCTAATTCAGCACCTCCTGGAGGTGCTTTGGGGACCATATGGGGTGCGGGGGATCAAACCCAGGTTGGCTACTCAAACCCATGTTGGCTGCGTGCAAGGCAAGCACCCTACCTGCTGTACTACGGCCCCAGCTCTGGACCCATTTTTCTCAGGGAAGCCATGAAGGATAAAGCAGAGTTTCTAGTTCTGGCAGGGGAACCAGAGTGATTCTGAGAACCAATGTGATGAGAGTAGGAAAGGAGGGGAGGTTGGGTTGGCAGAAACTGAGATCCAGGGGAAAAGAATCCAGACACAGAGCACTGGTCAGAGCTATGATAGGAAGTGAGAGCCCAACCAGGGCTAGAGTGTTCTGGCTGTTCTGGGGGAGCCGGGGACATGATAATAGCTTTTGTGTTAGAAAGAATATGGACCCAGGTAGAAAATACTAACCTCCCTGGTGCTGTGGGCTGCGGACTAAATGGAATGAGGGACGGGTCACAAAATGACCCATCAAGACCCTCCAAAATTCTTCCCAGCTGGACTCAGATTCTAGTTGGACATTTGTTCTCTGATTACACACACCCTGAATCCCAACACATCCTGTGCTCTATTATAACAACATATGTACTACATTCCAGCTGCACCCAACAAATATTTATTGAGCAGGATGTGTGAAGATATGGCCACAGGACCTCCTTTTTCTTCCTTCCTTTCTTTTTCTCTCTTTCTCTTTCTCTTTCTCTCTCTCTCTCTCCTTTCTTTCTCTCTTTCTTTCTTTTTCTTTTTTCCTTCTGTCTTTCTTTCTCCCAATAGATCATAAACTTCTTTTTGGGACTATGTGTTTTGGGGACCATACCCAATGATATACTGGGGTCCTGGGACTGAACTGGGATTGGCTGTCTGCAAGACAAATGATGCCTCGAACTCCTCTATTATCTCTCCAGTCCCCCCAGCCTCTGTGTTAGGCTCCCCGAGATGCAGAGCCTGAGACCCGGACTCAAACCCAGTCTCCGCTGAGTCTGCTTTCATCTCTCCTATGTTCATGGCTATAGTCCAGCATTTCTCTGTGTCTGCATCACTGTTTATGTGAGCCCCGGGAGACGCTCGTGGCTCTGCCTACTGAGCTCTGGCTTTAGGCCCGTGAGACGCAGGGTTTTCTGAAACGACGTGGCCGTTTGTGATTCAGGGTCAGGGCGGGAAGGCAGTACGGGACTTTCCCTTCCACAAGAGTCTGAGGTCTGGAAAGACAGCCAGGGAGGCAGCAGGGAGGTAACAGTCTTCACCCTTATCATGCCCAAGATTTACAGCTAGTCTGGATTTATATAAAGTTGAATCAGCCACCACAATGACGATCAGACTGAAAAGGCTTCATTCATTTAATGGTTTGTTCTCCCACAGGTAACCATCGTACCTCTTCCTTCTTAAAGTTCTCTAGTCTACATTTCACCATCTTTTAGCTGTCCTGTCACACATCTAGAATGACTCCAGTATTTAAGAATGCTGAGATGTATATATTTTATATATATTAATGGAAGAACTTACACTAAGTTCTTACACTAGGTTCATTAGCTGAGTGATTTTATCTGGACCTCTGGTGGTGGGGTGGGGGGGGTCTTAGATCACTGAACCCAGGGCGGAAATTTATGTTTCGGAGTTGCATGCTAGTTTTGAGGGTCTTGCATATCTCAGTGGGTGATTTCAGATACTCATCGGGAGCATCAACCAACATTTTCAGGGCCTCCATGAGAACCAGGGCACAGCAGGGAGGGGGTCTCTGAGGTGCTGGTGGTAGGGACTGGCACCTGGCCTTGACTACCTGTGCCTGTGGCAAGTCACGAGGCCTTCCTGGATCTCCTGGGAGCTCTGCCTCCCTGGTTCCCTTGTTGCCAGCCTTCCTTCCTTCCTCCCTCCCTCCGTCTGTCTGTCTGTTCCTCCCTTCCTCCCTACATTCTTCCCTCATTCCCTCTCTCCCTCCATCCCTCCGTCCCTCTCTCCCTCTCCCTTGCAGGGGTGTGTTCAGTAACAGATGTTTTTGCCCTCCCTAACTTCTGTTCTCTTAACTATAACAGTATTGCAAATATATTATTCTAATTGTTTGAAACACTCATCAGCTATCTAAAAACAGAAACAGGAAAGGTCTTATGATTGGGCCCTACCTCTGGCACCTGCAGTAATGAATCCCCCCAGTGTAAAGGGTACCAGAGATACAGAGGACAGGTCAGCATTTTTTGGTTCTCTTTTGGGCCATATTCGACTTTGTTTCATGCTTACTCCTGGCAGGGCTCAGGGGACCATAGAGGGTGCTGGGGATCGAACCTGGGTTGGCCATATGCAAGGCAAATGCCCTAAGCTCTGTAATGATTCTCTGACTCAGGGTCAGTGTGAGGAAACTGTGAAACTGGGACTGCCTCCAAGAGTTCACCCCAGTGCATTAGAACCTCTGCTACAACATGAACCAATTCATAAACGTTCAGATTCAGGGGAGTTCCAGATTTTGGGTGGGAAGTAGACTTAGTGTGAATACCCATCCTTGGGGCAGGGGATATGGCTTGAGTGATAGAACACACATACTGCATGTGGGAGACCCCCAGCTCCACCTCTATTACAGCAGCCTCCACTTTGCTCCCCCGCCCCCTCGCTTCGAAGTGGTACCCCCAAGTGAAAACACAACAAAACAAACAAACAAAAACACCAACCAGAACACGCCCATCCTTTTAGAGAAGCTGAAATGGAAGCTTCCATTATTGTCTCTGCCTCTCACAAACACAAAACAGATCGGATGATGACTTGAAACCAGATGTACTTGCCTGATGGGTCTGACTTCCAGGAACGTAGACAGACTTAAACTGTTTCATGAGTGTTCGGGCTCCAGCAACGTCCCGAAGCGAAGCGAAGAGTTCATCCAGCACAATTTTGGATTTGGGAAGCGTCACGTCAGTTGAAGAATCACAGCCTGAAATCATCCAGAGAGATTTTCTTGGGTGAACAAATATTGAAATGAAAAGTTTTTAATCACAACAGCTTGAGCTGGAGAGAACACAGTTGGGGATTTTTTTTTTTTTAAACACTAATTTCTTCCCTCCCCCACCTCCTCCACTCTGGCTGTTCACCAACTGGGTTATTTCAGTCATCCACAGGCAAGGAAACCTACTGAGGATAAATGCCTTTGACAAAAGTAGAACACGGCATGGCCTGGAATCGCAGCCACTGGCTTCCAGCCAGAGACGGCAGAAGTTTCTCAGAGAGAAAACTCCCCTGGGTCCAAGATCTTCAGAACTCAGACTTGGGAAAATATTATGAGACACAGAAGAAAATACCAGGGAGAGTTGGGATGGGTCCTCTCCCTTGGACCCCACCAGCACTTCCTACAGAACACAAGAGCAATCACCAGGTGGCACCCAGAACAGAACTTGCAGGGTCTAGCCTGTGTCGAGTGGGTGGACCAAGACTGTGGCAGATTTCAAAAAAAGCTCAAAGCTGCTAAAACCAAGAGGGCCCTAATAAGAAGATGGTTGTTGGCAATGATTCTGTTTCTCTTTTTGAAACTTAGACTAAGTTTTGAAACTTAGGTGGATTTATTTTCTATCTTGTTAAAGGAGGAGAAATGAGCCTGAATAAGTTAGAAGTTGAAAAACACATACACACAGAAAAGGATAATAATGGTTACTTTTTTTGATGGCACCCTGAGTTTTTATTAGAAAAGTTAAAAACAGGAAAGCTATTTAAAAAAAAAAACATTACAAAGTATTCCACTGAGAATTTTAAAAGCTGTATTAGGCTTTTCATTATTTTCCATTCCAAGAAATATTAATCATTATCTTCTTGTATGAACCATGGTTCTTTCTAGGCACATACAATGCTGAAATGAAAGAGAAAGGCTCCAAAGAGGGATAAAAAAGAAGTTGCTCGAGGCCCTCCTGTTGTTCATCGATTTGCTCGAGCGGGCCCAGTAACATCTCCATTGGAGACTTTGTTGTTACTGTGTCTGGCATATTGAATACGTCACGGGGAGCTTGCCAGGCTCTGCCGTGCGGGCGAGATACTCTCGGTAGCTTGCCGGGCTCTCCGAGAGGGGCGGAGGAATCGAACTCAGGTCAGCCATGTTGGCTGCGTGCAAGGCAAACGCCCTACTGCTTTTCTATTTATGATTTATTTCAAATTTAGTTTCGCTCTGCGTTTGGATGATAAACAAGTTGAGGAAGAATGATGAAATAGGATAAATAGGTGTGGGATTAATATCTATAAAATAAATCCTATATAATCATAAGAAAAATAATTAACACTAAAATTAGACAAAATGCAATTAATGATCAATAAATGTTTATGTTTTTAAATGTTGTTACATAAAAAATATATTAGCTGTGTATATGTCATATCTGTAAGGTGCTGGTTCAATTCCTAGCGAAAAAATAAATTAGGACCAGACACACTTAAAAAAATTTATTTAGGGGCTGGAGTGATAGCACAGTGGGTAGGGCGTTTGCCTTGCATGAGGCCAACTCCGGTTTGATTCCCAGCATCCCATATGGTCCCCTGAGAGCCATCAGGAGCAATTCCTGAGTGCAGAGCCAGGAGTAACCTCTGTGCATCACTAGGTGTGACCCAAAAAGCAAAAAAAAAAAAAAATTGTTTTCTGGGGGGATGTCATAGCCAGCGATGCTCAGGGGTCACTCCTAGCTTTGTACCCAGGAATCACTCCTGGTGGTGCTTGAGGGACCATGTGGGATGCCAGCAATCCAACCCAATCAGCTACAAGAAAGGCAAGTGCTCTCGTCGTTACATTATTGGTCTACACATTTTTTTTTTATCCAGCAAATTTTCAGAGTCAAGGATGATTATTTTTTGACACTGAAGAACTGTGGGTCTGCTACAGTATAACGCCTCACCTCACCCTTGCAAGCCAGGAGACAGAATCTTCCCCACTTTCAGGATAGGGGAGCGGGGCACAGGAAGTGCTCCTGCAGGCCCAGACAGGCTCAACCTATATCTGCTCCATCACTCTGGCTTGTCACCTGGAGGTCTGAGGAACGACGCCTGGATGTCGCATCACCTGGCTGCTGATTGCTTCCAGTCTCAAGTTCTGCTCATCACAAGCATCGCTCCATTTCTCTGACTCTTGGTTTCTGTCACACACACTCTCTCACAGACTCACACATATGCTCACACACACACACAGCATATCACCTGTATGGCTAGAGAAGCTTGGGGGTAAGAGGAGGCAAGGACTAGACCAGGTTTAAGAAAGTTTCCTTCCTAGTGATTAAAAACTATGATTTTTTTCTCATAGTTCTAAAGACTCCTCCCCCCACATCTGATTGGTTTAGAAAGTTTCCTTCCTAGTGATTAAAAACTATGATTTTTTCCTCATAGTTCTAAAGACTCCTCCCCCCACTCTACCATTTGAGTCTGGTCCAGAAGCCCCACATGGCCCAACATACCTGAGACAGGCTCTGGGTCTCACGCTGGCCCAGGGGTAGAGAAACTCAGGTCCTAGTTTTCTTCCTTGCCCTCTTGTCCCGCCCCTGAAGCAGGGGGAGGGGGTGCTTCTGGAAGCTTGAGGGACAGTTTGAAGAAAGGTCAGCAGGGAGTGTGAGTGACCAGAGTGTGCTCGGCACTGAGGTCTGAGGTCGTAACTTCCTCATTCATCCTGCAGGCTGACAATGCCTTTTCTCTATTTAAGCCATTGTTTGGAAGGTGGAGTCTTTCCCCCTGGCTCTCAATGTTTGGCACATACAAGTAAGATGAAAAGCATAAAAAAACAACAATTAAACCTAGCAAGTGGCATCTCATCCTGAAGTCTTCTCAGTGAGACTGACCGTACTGAACCACTGATTAGGATGGCTCCGGTAGGCACCACTGCTGTAAGCCTAGGAAGCATCCTTTCCAAAGATGCCCAGCACCCACCTTTCAATTTCAGAAATCACTCACAGGTAGGGTATGTGCATGAGAAAAATATCACCTGTACATGTCTGTACAGATATATTTATTTTTAAATAGAGGCACTGATATTTGTTGATATGAAAGGCTAAGGTCTTTGAGTATCCGCTGTTGTTTTATTTTGGTTGGTTGGTTCGTTCATTTGTTTGTTCCTTTCTTCCTTTCTTTTTTTAAAACTACCATGCCCTATGTAGAATTCTATTCAGGGTTAACAAGAAGGCTCCTTAAAAGATATTTCAACCCCTCATCCACTTCTGGTGTGAATGTCATGTAGTCCAACCTCTGCAGAAAGCAATATGGAGATTTCTCAAAAAAAAGAAAGAAAGAAAGAAAGAAAAAAAGAAATAGAATTCCTGTATGACCCAGCAATACCACTTGGCATCTATCCCCCAGACACAAAAACATTAACTTAAAATGATATAGGTACACCTATTCACTTAGTACAATTGTCAAGATATGGAAACAACCTGAATGTCCAACGACAGATAAATGCATCAAGAAGTTGTGGCATTTGCTGGGGGGAAAAGGCAGCTGAGATAGAGAAGGGACCACCAAGTAAAGAGTACCTTGAGGGCCAGCTCAGGATGGGAGATGTGAGCTGAAAGTAGACTATAGACCGAACATGATGGCCACTTAATACCTCTATTGCAAACCACAACACCCAAAAGGAGAGAGAGAGCAAAAGGGAATGCCCTGCCACAGAGGTGGGGTGGGGTGGGGGGATGGGGTGGTGGGAGAGATACTGGGATCATTGGTGGTAGAGAATGGGCACTGGTGGAGGGATGGGTACTCGATCATTGTATGGCTGAAACGTAAGCACAAAAGTTTGTAAGTCTGTAATTGTACCTCATAGTGATTCATTTAAAAATAAAAAAAATTAAAAAAAAGAAGTTGTAGTATATATACACAATGGAACACTACGCAGCTCTACGTAAGAACAAAATCATGCCATTTTCAGCAACACGGATAGAACTAGAGAATCTCAAGGCAGGAGAGATAGCACAGCGGGTAGGGCATCTGCCTTGCATGTGGCCGACCCAGGTTCGATTCCCAGCATCCCATATGGTCCCCTGGGCATTGCCAGGAGTAACTCCTGAGTGCAGAGCCAGGAGTAACCCCTGTGCATCGCCCGGTGTGACCCAAAAAGCAAAAAAAATAAATAAATAAAATAAAAAAATAAAAGAACTAGAGAATCTCATGCTAAGTGAAGTCAGTGAGAAAGATAGGGACAGAAACAGAGTGATCTTGGTCTTATCTGGGATGAAAACATACAGGGTGAGGCAGCAACAAAAAAATCCAAAGGCAAAATGACAAGGGAATGGAAACACAATTGAGTTGGGGGGCCAGTGAGAGGGAAGGTGGGTGAGGGGGTAGGGAGGGAGGTAGGTGTGATGACAGGATAATGTCCATGAGAAACCATTGGTAGCAGAATTGTAAGCCAAAGGAAAAAAAAATTAAAGTAAATAAAATTCAACAAACTAAGCGCAAGTTTTGCATGTTGAGTCTGGGGTTTGCTCACCAGCTCATAATGGACCCTCCCACCCCAGCATTGCCAGGACTGACCCCACAGAACTTGGAGGAGCCCCTAAGCACCACTGGGTGTGTTCCCAAGTGGAAAAACAAATAAAAAGAAAAAAAGAAAATAAAATCCCAAACAGACCCTCAAACCATAAAGTGAACAGGAGGTGAATGGCAGCACAACCTGAGGGCAGAGTTCTAGACTGCGATGTGTTTTTGCCTACCGCCTACCGCCTTTTACAATCACCCTGTACACACCTAATTCAAAAGCCCTTTTGAGATGCCTCATCTTTATAGAATCTGTAAAAAGCATTTAATTTGGGTTTTACAGAAATATCCTCCGCGAATCGTATTTCATTAGTGTGCTCGGTTGCTTCATTAAAGTTTGCAAAGTGACCAGTACCATGGGTGACCACTGGGCTGGGAACAGATGCAGCTGAATCCTGGGACTCCCACAGGCCCACAGGGCAGAGCAGATGTGCTGGGTTCAGGGAGATA